ATTTTTTTAAAAAAAGTAACAGTAGTCCTCATATACTTATAGAATAATTATGCCTATGTGTCAATGAAAACTATTTCAATATCTGTATTATTGCTATGGGCCAAGTTAGAGTAAAATATGCCTTGAGATAATAGACAGACAGACACTACATGTCAATGAAATATTACAAGAAAAAGTGTTTCAAAGCATCATATAACAGTGCACTTAGAGAAAAACATCCACATGAATATATAATTTTCATGTGTGGGTTGCTAAGAAATTGTGGTATTAATATAAATCTATGCATATATATATATTCACACACATATATAAACAGATATTATCAATTAAACATTACTTGGTGAGCCCCTATGTTATTTAAGAATACAGTTAGTTTTTTAAAAGATCAAGAATCATTTTTCTATCTAAATGATAAAGACTAATGAGGCTAATGTAGTAAAAATAAAGAAATTGGGAGACTTTTAAGTAACAAAGGAAAGAATACCTCTTTCAACACTGCTCTTAAGCTGTTGAGATAGGGAAATAAATCTGAAACTACACAGAGGATTTATAATGATTTTCTGATCATAAAATTATGATTTTAATTATTTTTTTAAAATTGGCTATATTTCTTTTATTTAAGGACATTATGATCTAGTCTAAATGGTCACAGCTTAATCTATAGCTTTCAGAAACCCCTTCTGAATTTCAGTACCTATATTTTAAATCTCAAGCTTTTCCTGGACTTTACTTTTTCTCATTAGCTTCCCTACTCCTGTAAACTACTTGTAACACATTTTCAATTCACCCATTGCTTCTTCAATTGCACACTTAGGTAGTGGGGAAAGTGGTCTAAACTATCAATATTTGTTTTCTTAATAAAATAAAATGCTCAACTTGATATTTGGGCACGTTTCAGATCATTAATGTTTAAATGAAATGAAAATTTTTAGATCGTAAAAGCAAATTTATTTAGTATTGAATTACTGTTAAGTAAATACTAGCCTTTATCTACTGACTGTATCATATCTGATGATTTTAGTGAATGTTCATAATAACAAAATAAGACCAAAGTAAAACGCAAAAACATAGGTAAATGGAATAAATGCCCATTTTTAATAGTGCAGTTTAGATTTGTGTTCCACTCCCTGAATTTTACTAAAAAAAAAAAAAGTGCACATTTTCTATAATGCCAATGCAGATAAAAATCATTCATTAAGCAACATCAGAAAATAGTACAGAAAATAGGAAGATTCTCTTACAAACATTGAAAACTGTGGCAAGCTAAGCAAGTTCTCAAAATCACATTATTCATGGTTTTTTTTTGCATACGTGTTTTGTATATAATAGGCAGTTCAATAGCCTTAATAACATTTCCTAGATAAACATAGCATACTATGTCAACTAGATGGAATGCTTGTTGACTACATCTGTATCTAAATAACATATAATTAATCTACAAAAATTTTATTTCACAGCATTTATATCATTCTCTACTTTTTAATGTAAGCTATTATTAGATTTCAGAAATAAAACTTCACTGTCAGTATAATAAAATACACTTAAGTACACTAAAGCTAGGAAAAGGGGATTGTCTGTTATTTGGATTATAGCAATGTATTTGCAATGGTTTTATTCTAGATGTAATTAAAATGGTTAAGACTGAGTAGTAAATATTTTATAATAGATTCACAAAAGTAAGTAAAATATACTTCTAGAACATAAAAATGCACTGTATTGAGCTTAAAATTTAGAGAAAATGACTGACAATATGTCCTGATTATGGTTAATTCCATTTTATTTAATACTGCAGATTGTATATATCCATATTTAAAAATTAAGCATTGTGGCACCTATTATTTAACACTGGCCAAAAACAAAATCCAAAACTTATAGTGGTAGAGAATACCATGACAAAGAGAATCAGATAAACAAGGTGGAAAATGTCATTTGAAATAAAATAAAAACAAATATAACAAAAACTGGAAAAAGAAATGTTTACTAAGAAGAAACAAGATGTACAGTTCTATATGCAGAATTTTGTAGTGTTGTAGAAATCCATTGTGTACACACACACACACATAAAACAGTAGATGAGACTATATCTTAATTAAATTCCTGACACAGATATTACTGACTGGTTTTCAACACCGCTTCCTCAGTGGGTAAAATAGCACTGCTTATAGACAGTGGACAGGAAAGATTCCCAAAGGGTAGAAATTAAACATTTTTTTCATATTTTGAAATCTCTCTCTGTGGAAAATTTATTTTAAATGTACAAATGAGACTCTAAATCTCTATCCCTGACTATGATAGAATTCTAATTAAAAAAAAAAAAAAAAAGGCTTATCCTTTTCTTTACCTCTTTTACCTACCCGCTCTTTGGTATTTGTTTTGCTTCTCTTTGTGCTAGCAAAAGGCATAATTGCAAAACGGAACTATTATTAAAGTTTGTTTTAAATCAGTGCCTGGGAAATAAATTAGCCTCTATTCCCACACAGTAATAATGTCAGAAAATGAGAGCTTCCAGTTATAGTGCAGGAAATTAAAGTAATGATGGCCAAAGCTTTAACAAAGTCACAGGAGACTGAATATTATTGATTCTAAGAAAGATAGATTTCTACTATCCAGAAAATGACATCTGTCTCAAAACAAATGACTAGAACATAAAACAAATAATGAGACAATTCTTATATCTAAAGAGAAAAAAATCAACATTAAACAAAAATAAAATCAAATCAGGGATTGCAAGAGAGCAACATCGAAATAATTAGGAACATTATTTGAAATAGTGTAAGGTAAGTCACAAATAATTATTATTCACTTTAGTATCTTAGAGGGGAAATATATTAAGGAAAATAAAGTCTTATAAGAGTAGTTGCTAATAGGTTTTTTTGGATGTGATAAAAGATTAAATTTAGTCAAAATGACTGCATAACACTGTGAACTTACAAAAACTATTGAAGTAACACCTTAACAGTGACTGTTAAGATATGTGAATTATTTCAATAAAAGAGCTATTTTTTTTAATCCTATGCTCTAGTAATCTCCCTCTTCAGAGGTTCATTGCTGTTTTTGTTTGTTTGTTGTTTCTAATGCTATTCTGTTCCACAGTAGTCACTGGTATCCACAAAATTAACTCAGAGTTTACCATAATTCACAAAGATTAGATTAAAAAAATTATTTGTAGTAGTTATATTTAGACAAATGGATTTAAGTAGTTTGTCAGTGTATTAACAGGAAAATTCAACAGAAATGAGACATTATTCTTTTAATAAAATTGTTGGTGTCTCTATACCAAAACATATTCTATTTAACAATCATCCCAATTACTCTGTATTCTGCTTCTTGGCATTTCTTCTCTCCGGGAAGCAAGCTGCTTTATTGCCAACATATTCAGGCTGCTGACTGCTGATGGAAAGTCATGAAATTTGGCTTACTAACTTCTGTATAAACTGATGTTATCTAAATCATCTGTGCCTTCATTGCCTCTTGGAAATTTTCTTATTAATGTCTAAGTGGCTCCTTAACACATTCACATTTTCCATAGTGCTCATTTCAAAGCTTTTCAAATCCCTGTCCTCTCAATGTGATCTCACCTATTCCCCCAGTAAAAGTCAATATTCTTTCCTACTATATGGCAAAATTCCTCTACCTCAACATATACCTTATTTTGTTTTCCATCATTTTTACCTTAAAAGTAGGCTTAATTCATCACCTCCAAATTACCCTAGCCTAGTGGAAATAAATCTGCTTCTTTTTATCACATATCTGCCACTATCTAGCTCTAAGGTCTATCATACGCGATTTGTCTCAGTGTGTAAATGTGTTTGTGTGTGTGGCTGTACACCATATTTGGTTCTTAGCTTTTTCATTTGTAAAATCAATATCTTGGACTTTGTGATTACTAATGCCTCTTTCAGTACTAAATCAAATTTGCCCCTGTTTTATGTATCTGATTTTTTTTTTATTCTCCTATAATCTTTCCTTTTCATTCAACACATACACACACACACACACAAACAATAGGCAACAGGACATAAGATAAGTTCTTTCTAGAAATCTTCTCCAGTCAACGTGATACTTGTTACCCTATATATGCTTGGGACTTAACTTTAAAAGTAATTCTTGATTACTGTGATTACTTGAATCAATATTTCTACTATCTTTGTATCAAGCTGTTTCAGCACATAGATAGTATTTTGAATACTAGCTTATTCAACTAGCTTATTAAAAGAGTTGTTACAAAGTATGATCTTTCTTCAATGGTTTTTCTACTTGAATCATCTTTGACATAAAACACCACAGATGGTATTTGGACACACTCTTGACATATTCTTCTCACTTTCTATAGTTCTGATCACCTCTTCTATTTTTATTTTCCCTCCTCAAAGCACATCCTATATTGTTCATCTTTCTACTTTTCTTCTATTGAAACTTTCACTCAAGTCTCAGGATGTTATTGGTAATGTTGAAGTGGATTCTAAAAGTATTTTTCAAAAACTTCTTAATAGTATGTTGGATATTTTTACATGTCTCAACAACTTAGTTATGCTGAAAATAAAATTCCATTATACCCCAATATCCACCAGAAAAAACCTAAGTTTCTCCTACTTCTATAGTTTTCCTTTTTGTTAATGCTATAAATATGTTTCAAGTGACTGTAAATGACATATCAACAAGAAGAAATGCCAAGTGTGAGGGGCTAAACTGTTTTCTGAAAAGACAGTTTATAATACAGCTACTTCTTCATCTCAATGCTCTGAAAGATATTACAATGACCATTCAAGCTTAGCATACAAGTGGGCAAAATATTCATGTTTTAAGACAGCGGCTTACTAAATCTCAGGAATATTTTCTCGTTTTACATCAAAACAAAAGTGCAATCACAATTCAAGTACCCCCATTTGTTTCACCAGTTTCTTTGTCTATTGTTGTTAGGTAATACAAACACCTAAGCCAAGAAAATTCAAAGCTCTTAGCCAACTGTATTTTAAAAGAGGAAAGAAAAACAAGCTCACACTTTATCTGTTCCGTAACTCCTGTAGTCTACTGCGGCGGACACAGCCACAATCAGTGCAGGCATACCATAGCCGACCAGGTAAAAGTACTTCCTACGTGAATGTTCACTCTCAAAAACCTCCACCAGCATGATATAAAGCTGTACTCCCTCCAGGAACATCCAGGTAAAAGCAGCCAAGAAGAAGAAATGTAAGAGGGCAGCAAAAACTGCACAGGCAATCTAGGAAAAGAACAAATGATATATCAAATAACTACTAAATATAATATTACCTACTGTAATAAAACTAGAATATTTATTTAGACTACAGTAGTAAAACAAACCTGCAAAAGGATAATCGAGGCAAGTTTTTTTTTAATTCAAATATTTAAACCTAATTTAAATAGAACTTACCTTTGAAAACTATATTTAACACTTTATTACTAATAGACTTTGGATACCAGCATAGCATAATAAGGAAAATGGCATTATAAAGTGCTAATTGGAGCCTATGGTAGCTATTACTGACATTAGTTTAAAGGCTTTAAAGTGAAAATCAGGAATTTGTATTCTTGGTCATAATCATGTATGTGCTTACATACATGTACTTTTAAAGTTCTTCAATTGTCATGGAGGAAAAACACAAACTAATGTCAAAGAGAAGAGAATAGAAGCTCTTAAAAGTAAATAACATTATAGTATTTTATGATGAGGTTATTGATTTGATATTACTAATTCCTTATTTACATCTTCCCTATTATGGTTTAATAGGATTTATAAAGTGGCATTGGGTAGTTTATGCTATACAGGTGTAAAAGTAGATCTGGTTAAAATAAAATATTCAGGAAGTGCTTTCATTGCTCATATTTTGTCATTGTTCGGTTGATCTAGAAATCTTGGTCCTTTTACTACAAAAAATCATTTCAACTTAAGGTAACCCTAATTGTTTATTTTTGCTTTTATTTCCCTTGCCATAGGGGTCAAGTCTCAAAAAAAAAAACATTTTTATCATTGATGTCATGAAATGAATCAATGATAAAAATACTTTTTTTTAACACTGCAGGTATTATATGTATATCTTTAATTAATATGGAATTTATTTTTGTACATCGAGTTAGTTACTTTGGCATATTTTCTAAGGTATTACAAGCTCTTATGTCAGTTTCTGAAATTTTCATTCCTTTGGAGAGTCTTCATTTTTTTTCAAAAAGTCCAAAATAAAGTCTATTGCTCCCACTAGTAAAGAGGAATAAATTTATGTAAGAAATAATCTGATTAGTATGGAGTGAATGGTGAGTATGGTTCTTGAGAAATGTGATATAATTCAGGCTAATTTCATTGTGTAAGATGGCAATGAAGGGGACATGAGGAAATCAGTTTAGGATTGTAGAGAGAAAGAGAACCTAAGAGAGATGCAGACAATAAACAACCAACTAGCAATGCTTATTTTAAAAAGTAAAGAAAAGATGGGTTTAAACTATCCTCTAAGATAAAGTTTTTCCTATAAACATTGTTCTTTGTCTTCTTGTCAGAAAATTGTTTTGTGAAGTATGCAAAATTTTGTGGTTTATCACACCATATGTAGCATTTAGAAACACAAATTAGAATAAGATTTCTAAATGAAAAGAAATCACACAGCATTTGAATTGCAGGTTAAAAGGAGAATGATGATTTCTTCTTGGCAAAATAACACAGTTTTCCCTATCTTGCTTTTTAGAGTTAGAACATCAACTATTAATTTTTGTTATCAGAAGGCTTTCCTTTTGGGAGAAAGAAATGTGCACTTTGATTGCTTATTCATATGTATGCATTTGTGGGAAAAGCTGTCACATTTGTATATGATAACCAATTAAAAGTATAATCATCATAATTGTACCCTTTACCGCCATTAATCATGAATGTGTAATCACAAGCATGAATCCAACTGCATTTTTATTATAAAGTACTCCATACTTATGGACATATACTAGGGAACAACATTAAAGGAATGAATTATTTATTATGCCTACAAGCTTTCTAAAAAATGAAGTTTTCTTCTCATTTGCAGTTTTAGTCACTAGAGCAAACTAGCACTATATGCATGAATCTTAATACACAAAAATTATAAGTGTGTATAAGCTGTGTAAAGCATTTGATGCTATCTGTTATTCATATTTTCTGTTAGGTTTTACTATGGACATAATTATTGCTGTTCCTTTCCCCACTTTCCTTTCCTTTCCTTCCTACCACTCTTCCTTCTTTCCTTATTTGGCAAGATTAATGTAAATAGTAGAAAGAATAAAAGTAGCGCTTTAAAAAATATATTAGCTAGATTTGTTCAAATATAATTTATGTAATCTCAAAATCACCTAGTTATAACTTTTATATACTATGTCCATTATAAAATTAGCTTTCCTGTTTTTAACATAATATCTACTGTTATTCATAAAGTATGTTATAAAAATAGAAATATGGGGCCTCCATGGTGGCGCAGCGGGTTAAAGCACAGCGCTGAGAATCTGAAGCCACTTCCTCATGAGTTCGATTCCCGCCTGCAGCCTGCCCCGGAGGAGACCAC